TGCTGGGAAACTGCAGTTATGCTGAGCCACGCCCATTTCTTTTCATCTTTTCCTCTTAAAATAAGAAAGAAAATATAATGGTCAAAAACAGTGACACTAGCAGAAATAAACTGAAGGAGCATGAGCTGAAACTAAAGAAATTAATCTGACTGAAATGAGCAGAATTACCAGTAAAAACCCATTTATCTGTACACGGCTGAAATTAGCTTAAATAAAGCTGAAAAGGTAGAGCATGCTTAAATTGCCAGAAGTGCAGAGAGCACATTTTTGCACATGACTGAAAGAAGCCGAAATGAGCACAAGTGGAAATTATCAGGAGGCGGGGGAGGGGTGGGGGCCTAGGTTTAAAATATTACATCTGTATTATATACCAGAAGTGCAGAGAGCACATTTTTGCTGAATTGGGTTGAAAACAAGTTGAAGTGTGCAAAAGATGTGGAATAAGCTGAAAAAAGCTAAAATTAGCATAAACAGCTAAATAGTAACTGAAATATCAGAAAAAGCTGAAACTTGCATAAATAAGCTGAAAAGAGCACAACAAGCTGAAATTTGAAGAAAGAAGTTAGAAGAAGCACAAAAATGTTGAAGTTAGCAGAAAGAATCTGAAAGGAGCACAAACAGCTGGAAAAACAGCTGGAAGTAGCTGAAAACAGTTACATTTTTATAAGGAAGCTGAAAGGAGCAGAAGGTTGTGAACATCTGAAGCTGTGAAGGATGCAAGAGGAGCTCAATTCATCTTGTAGGAGGAGAAAACGTGCTGAATACTTCCAGCAGCTCAAGTTGCAGCAAAAGCAGAAGTCGGAGCAGGAGGTCCTGAAGAGCTGAACCAAAAGCAGAAGTCGGAGCAGGAGGTCCTGAAGAGCTGAACCAAAAGCAGAAGTCGGAGCAGGATGTCTGAAGAGCTGAACCAAAAGCAGAAGTCGGAGCAGGAGGTCCTGAAGAGCTGAACCAAAAGCAGAAGTCGGAGCAGGATGTTCTGAAGAGCTGAACGTTTCATTCGTGCTTTGTTGGAGCAGCTGAAAGGTGCGAGCCGAGGAAGAAGCTGGAAAACGTTGAAAGAAACCCGAACAAGAGGAACAGGACGGTGATCACCAGCTCTACCGTGCTGCGCACATGCTGAGGCTCGAGTCCATGTGTTCGATCATGAATCAGACAGAAGTCAAGCAGCGTTTGATTAGTTATCGATTAGCTCGTGTGCTGTGAACATTCACCCTTCGGCTGTTGACCTGGAGGCTTCGCTCTCTGCTCGTTCAACTGGACAACCTTCTGCTTCCACGTCTGAGCGGCTGAAGCTCCAAGCAGGAGGCAGCAAACCATCGTGACGGACAGCATCTTGTCTTCCATGTGTTGGAAACAGCTGAGCTGCACCTGAGCGCCTTTGTAGAGGTGACGTTAGGCCCCGCCCACCACATGATTACCCTCATGCGCCCCCAGCGCGGCCTCACTCTTCTTCTTCCTCTTCTTCTTCTTCCTCTTCTTATTCTTCTTCGTCCTCTTTTTATTCTTCTTTTTATTCTTCTTTTTATTCTTCTTGTTTTTATTCTTGTTTTTATTCTTGTTTTTATTCTTCTTGTTTTTATTCTTGTTTTTCTTTTTCTTCTTCTTCTCCGGTTTTATTTGGCGGTTGACAGACATCATTTTGGAGCATTCCCGCCACCTTCTGGTTAGGAGTGTGAAATAGAACCACGTTAAAAAACGAAATACAGTAAATAAACAAATAAATAAATAAATAAATAAATAAATAGAGTTTGATTGGAACAGATGAGTCTGTTGGAGGTCTCTTAATGAAGTGTTGGTTCTTTCAGAGGGAACTCCTTGGAACAGCAGCGCTGAATCTTTTATTTTACTGACACTGTTAATCTTCTTTCATGTAACAACAATAATAATCATTACTCAGCCCAACTTCTCCCTTTGTGACCTACAACTTTTCACCTTCTACTTTTGTTGGGGGGGTCTTCATACCGTGCGGGCTGAGGCAGCCAGAGGCAAAGCAGGGGCCCGTCAGCAGGCTGCCATGTAGGGAGAAGCTCCAGGAGAGCAGCCAGGATCAGCTCGGACCGGGGTGTGTGTGTGTGTGTGTGTGGGGGGGGGGGGGGGGGTCCATCCGAGCTGACCCTCCATCAGCAACAGCAGCGAGTTTTTTGCTTTCAAGGAAACTGATGGAGACTCTGGTGTGGGGGAACCCGTCTCCTGGATCAATTTATTCATGGCCTCTGTGGGGTCGAGGGACCTGCTCACATGCTCGCCTCCATCCTGGACCTGCCATTCTGTGTCTGTTTCTACTTCCTGTTCCTCTCAAACCCACCTGGTCGAAGCACATGACCACTCGTCCTGAGCCTGGTCCTGCTGGAGGTTTCTTCCTGTTAAAGGGAGTTTTTCTTTCCACTGTCGCCTTTGTGCTCAGGATGAGAGACTGTGATGAAGATTCAACACAATCTGCTCTACCTTCAATAAATCATGTTACTAATTGAATTTTTATACATGAATGTTTCTGTTCAGTGCCCTGAGATGACTTCCATTGTGACTTGGAGCTTTAGAAATAAACTGAACTGAACTGAACTGATGTCTGTACTTCTATATTACATGGTTTAAACAAACTAGATTTTTATTATTCATAATCTCTTCAATTATTGACCCATTGTGATCATTTTAATACCCCACAATGTTCTGTGCCCATTAAAATCACCAGACCAAACCACTTGACCATTAAATGTGAAACATCCAGAGTTTCTGTTGACAGTCGTTACCTGGGTTGTAATAATTAATGCCGTTCATATGTCCAGGTTTCAATTATTATGAACTCCAAATCTGATCCTTTTGTTAATAATCTGTGTTGAAATCCTTCTTTAATGAAAATTATACAGCCTCTCCCTTCCCTTCAATCTTGACTTATCCTCATGACTACCAGGAAAATAAACATTGTCCAATCACAATTTTTTTCAGGCTTCAGAAACAACTCTTTTTCCAGAGGGACCTGTCCCAAAGAACGATTAGATAAATATCATCCTGACACTTGTGCACTGCTTCTTCAGTTTCCTCAGACCATCCAAGTCTGTCACGACATGAATGCATGCGTGCTGAGAGAAGCTGTGGAATCAGTGTCATTTTTAATGAACAATGTGTTTTTGTGAAGCCAGAGTCCAGCGTTCTGAAGCCCAACGAGACTCGACGACCCTGCATGAACAGGTGTTTCTTTACAGGTGGGCTGGAACAGGACGAGTCACAGAAGAACAGACATGGTGAGTATTGTTTTGTTGCCGTCAGCATGGCTGAATTTACAAACCGGGCGATGCCGCCACGCAAATAGTGGGCAGGCCAGCGGATGGGCCGGTGCTTTGGGTATTGGGGGGGGGGGGGGGTCCTCTACCAGAAAAATATGAGTATAATAGATGTGATTTCCTACATTCTGGTGTATTTTAATGGTTTGTTAAACATCTACATTTACCTACATTTGTAAACACTGCACTTCTGTCAAGCCCCCACCTCTTTACTCGACAGTTCCAAGCCCGACTCTCTCCGTTCAATTCACTGTCCTGTTTTCTGACTCCACCTGTGAAAACTCCAGGCACCTCCTCCTTCTGTTAGTGACAGCTGCCTGTGGGCTCCTGCCTGGTTAGCTCAGCACTCACCTCCACCACTCTTTTAGGGGCAGAGATTTTTATAAGCGTAGGCGCACAATCAGAATCAGAATAAACTTTATTGGCATTGCACCGAGATACAACGCGAACATGTACGTACAGTTGTCTGAAGATGGGCGGAGTGCACGAAGCTGCGGCTAAAATAATTAGCGCGGCCTCTTATTCTTATTCAGAATAATATTTTTGACCCCCTGTGAACCAAAAAGAAAGAAGTAGGAAAAGAGGATGGCTGAATGGATGTTTATCAGATCTCATCTCATATAAACTTGTGTAAAAACTTTATAAAACAATATCAAGGACTTTGTTCAAACAAAATTAACATTTGCACAGAACAGTTACTGAAAGAAGAAGGCTCGAAAAGTAAGATCTATAAATTCTACATAATGAAAACTATCCATCCATCCATCATCTTCTGCTTGTTCCAAAGTCGGGTCACGTTGGCAGCAGCTTGAGCAGGAAGGCCCAGACGTCTCTTTCCACAGCCACCTCTTCCAGATCTTCTTGGACGACTCCAAGGTGTTCCCAGGCCAACCAAGAGACATAGTCTCTCCAGTCTGTCCTGGGTTTTCTCCACGGTCACATCCCAGTCGGTCATGCCTGAAACACCTCCCGAGGGAGGCACCCAGGAAGCATCCTTACCTGATACCTGAACTACCTCAACTGGCTCCTCTGGATGTGGAGGAGTAGCGGTTCTACTTCAAGTCTCTCCTGGTTGAATGAATTTTTCAACCTGTCTCTAAGGGAGAGTCCAGCTACCCTGTGGAGGAAACTCATTTCATCCTCCTGAATCCACAATCTCATTCTTTCTGTCACTATCTAAAGTTCATGTCCATTGGTGAGGGTAGGACCATAGACCGACCGGTAAACAGAGAGCTTTGCCTTACAGCTCAGGTCTCTCATCACCACAATGGACTGGCACAGAGTCTGCAATACTGTAGATGCTGCACCAATCTGTCTGTCAATCTCACGCTCCATTCTTCCCTCACTTGTGAACAAAACTCAAGATACTTGAACTCCTCCACTTGAAGCAGAACCTCACCCTCGACCTGAAGAGAACAATCCACCCTTTTTCGATTGAGGACCATGGCCTCAGATTTGGAGGTGCAGATTCTCATCCCAGCAGCTTCACACTCGGCTGCGAACTGCTCCAGTGAGAGCTGGAGATCACAGCACGATGACGCTAACAGGACCACATCATCTGCAAAGAGCAGAGATGGAATCCTGAGGCCACCGAACCGGAAACCCTCCACCCCCTGGCTGCACCGAGAAATTCTGTCCATAAAAGTTATGAACAGAATCGGTGACAACGGGCAACCCTGGCGGTGTCCAACTCCCACCCTGAAGGGGTCTGACTTACTACCAGCAATGCAAATCAAACCCTCGCACCACTTGTATAGGGACCAAACAGCCCATAGCAACGAGCCTCCAATCCCATACTCACGGAGCACCCCCCACAGTTTACCCTGAGGAACAAGGTTGAATGCCTTCTCCAAGTCCACAAACACATGTAGACTGGATGGGCAAACTCCCATGACCTCTCAAGGACCCTAGTGAGGGTAAAGAGCTGATCCAGTGTTCCACGGCCAGGACGGAACCCACATTGTTCCTTCTGGATCTGAGGTTCGACCAACGATCAGACTTGCTTCTCCAGTACCCCTGAATAGACCTTACCAGGGAGGCTAAGCAGAGTGATGCCCCTATAATTGGAGCACACCCTCCTGTCCCCCTTTTTGAAGATGGGAACCACCACCCCAGTCTGCCAGTCCAGTGGCACTGCCCCCGATGTCCATGCAACGTTGCAAAGGTGTGTCAGCCAAGACAGGCCCACAACATCCAGAGCCTTAAGGAAATCAGGGTGAATCTCATCCACTCCCGGAGCCCTGCCGCTTCTGAGCTTTTTAACGACCTCGGCGACCTCAGCCACAGTTATGAACGGATCAACCCCAAAGTCCCATGACTCAGCTTCCTCCATGGAAGACATGTTTGCGGGATTGAGAAGGTTCGAAAAATATTCCTTCCACCTGCCGACGACATCACTAGTTGAGGTCAACAGACCCCACCTTCACTGAACACAGTGTTAGTAAAATTCTGCTTTCCCCTCCTCAGCCGTCTGATGGTTTGCCAAAATCTCCTCGGAGCTGACCGAGAGTCTCTATCCAAGGTCTCACCGAACTCCTCCCACATCCGAGCTTTTGCCTCAGCAACAGCCAAGGCTGCACAAAAGCTGTATCAGCTACTGAGGGAGTGAACATATGATTTGACACAGGTGTCAAAAACAGTTACTCTGTCGAGTTAAATGCCTGCAATTCAATTCAATTCAATTCAATTCAATTTATTTCTTTAGCACCAAGTCACAACAGAAGTCATCTCAGGCACTGAACAGAAACATTTGTGTGTATAAAATAAAATTAACATTATTTATCTGAGGAGCAGCTTTGAGTTTAACTCCATCACTGAACTCTCATCTTGAACAAGCATGAAGGCGACAGTGGAAAGAAAAACTCCCTCATGAGGAAGAAACCTTTAGCAGAACC